GGCCGCAAGTCCAATTGACCTCGAGGAGCGCCAATGTACGCATCCTACTCTCCGTCTTTGAGTCCTGGCTAACATGAGCAAAGTATCATCCGGAAACGAACTGCGCGATGGCCCCTGCAAACCCATCACCTTCATTTTCGCCCGCGCGTCCACGGAGCCAGGTCTCCTCGTAAGCACTCCTCTGCATGCTATCTAATAGCAAAGCTAACACGAACAGGGAATGTCCACTGGCCCAGCAGTCTGCAACAACCTGAAAGCCGCCAAACCAGGCCAAGTAGCCTGCCAGGGCGTCGGACCAGCCTATACAGCTGATCTGGGATCCAACGCTCTTCCAGATAACACCTCCCCCGCCGCTATCAACGAAGCCATGGGGCTCTTCAAGCAGGCTGCGTCGAAATGTCCAGACACACAGATTGTGGCTGGCGGATACAGCCAAGGCACGGCGGTTATGGATGGGTCCATCAAGCGGCTTCCGGAGGATGTCAAGGACAGAATCAAAGGTGTTGTGCTGTTTGGGTATACGCGCAATGCGCAGGAGAGGGGACAGATTGCGAATTTTCCGAAGGACAAGGTCAAGGTTTATTGTGCTATGGGGGATTTGGTCTGTGATGGGACGTTGATTGTCACGGCGGCGCATTTCACGTATGGTATGGATACGGGTAATGCGGCGCAGTTCTTGTTGGGGAAGTTGTCAACAGCTTGAGTCTGATTCATGTCTTTTTATGTATTGTGGTGCTGTCAGAGTCAGAAGCCTATCATGGAGTTATGAATCTGTTGCAGTAAACATCCTGACTACTATTCAATAGTCTGAAGTACTTCAGTGGTTGATCTGGTTAGGATGTCCAACGTCTATACACTTGATTGCAAAAATGGCGCCTGGGTCTTATACTCTTAAACTGCTTTCTGTACCCTATTGTAATTCAAACTAGTCTGTATTAAGTAAGGCTGAGGAATAATGATATCCTAGAAATGTATCTAATACCTGTATTTGTTGGTGAGAGCTATAATTCTTATCACTAATACTATGCCTCTAGGTTAATAGGTGTATACTTAATTATACTTAGCTAGATATCTTTAGAGTAAAAAAAATTTTACCCTCTTTTCTTTTCCTACTGTAGACTTAAATAACTTAAATTAGAAACCTAAGATAAGGGGACCAGTCTCTATACCTAGAATAATAAATATAGTTACTATTTACTTTTCTACTGCTGCTACTCCTCATCTAGAAATAGGTTTTATAGTTATGTTCTCCATGCTTCATAACTATTAGAGAAATTAGGATAGTTCGTATATATATAAGCTAAACTACTAGGGGATCTAGGTTCTTAAATAGTTCTTATAATGCACTCAGTTATTATCCTGGTCAAAACCCACACTAGTTTATAAGGGTAATGTGATTAGCTTTATTAAGAAACACCTGCATTTCAGTGGCTGGCTGAATACTAGTGCTGGAGTGTTCATAACATGGGTGATTATGTTGAATCTAAAGAATCTTACTAACATCCAGAAAAGCTAAGGCTTGTGCTTAGTTCTAAATAATTTTTTAGCTGCACTTCATAGCTGATGGAAGAGCATTTCTTGTGGCCAGGCATGTTATGGAAAGTAGTGCAAGCCCAGCCTGTGATAGGCTTAAATCCTGTTAGAAAGTATGTAAGGATATCTTGCCTTAGCAAGCAGTTGGTGCGGTGTACCTACTATATTTATTTTTTTAAATGCATCTACATAAACACACACCTGCAGAGATAGAGAGAAAGAGGTTTTCTATAATATTTCTGACCCTTACCTCCTTTAGTCTTAAAGGGGACGCATTTTACGCTTCTTAAGCATAACTATATCCTAAGGAGGTGCCAAGCCTTGTTCTTCTTTAAATTAGGCTTTTTTATATTTCCCATGAAAAGAATATTACACCCACCTTCATTCTAAGGCAGTTAGCTTAATAAAAGAATCATGCTAAGTTCTTAGCGGTGGGGCCAACAAACAATTGACAAGTGTTTGAAGGTCAGACCGATCTCGAGAATCACTGTAGTAGCTGAACTTATCTGTCTAATTTCCAATCCAAAAAAAAAAAAAAAAAAAAAAAAAAAAAAAAAAAAAAAAAAAAAAGACTCAGAGAAAGACTTGAAACTACTATAATCTGCGAGCAAGAAAACGTTCCACGAAGAGGGAGGCAGTTCCACTATGATGTGGGAAGTTCAAAACTCTGGAGTCCAGACATATCCTCCCAGTCAGGTGATGTTCGACAACCTTCTCGGCATCGAATCCCATACACCTGGTGGTGGTGGTGGTATTCATACCCTGACCCTTCACCTTCAGATGATTATAAACCACTGCCCACTAGACTGGGTACGGATTCGTATTTTGATCTAGTGGTAAAATCAATACCTTCAACGATATGCAGGATATTCAGTAAGGCTATCTCTATGTCTATTTCTATTTACAGAGAACTCGTTCCTATACGAGTGCTGCGTTTTCTTGCACGTTTTATTACTTTATTAATATAGCCCCGCTAGAGGCTTAGGAGGGGCAATAACACCCTTAATAAGAGGAGGGGGAGTAGTGTAGTAGGTAGGGCCTACTAGATACTTAGGCTATTTAGCTAAATAGTACAGCCCTCACAAAGTCATGTCTAAATTAGATATTAGCTTATGGTCATATGACATTGTACTAATTAATATAGCAAGCTTATATTATATAGCCTAACTCCCTGTTGCACTCCCTTTTTATGTTCAGCTGCTGCGGCCTTAGTTAGACCCCTTCAGCAATTTCTTACCGTCCAAACCTAGGTCATAGGTTGAATCGGCTCCTAGCCCGCGACATTCCTAGCTAGTAAGATATTATTAACTAGGCTATAAGTTACTGCTATTTTATAGTATTTTAATAATGTATAGGTTTACTAAGTAAAATATATATATTATTATAATTACACGTGGTTGCAAAAACGGTGCATGGGTGCTATGCTCTTTGTTTCTTTCTTGGTGGGGACTCTAGACAAAAATAGTTAAGGTTTGTAGCAGTCAGCCAATAGTAATTACCATTCCAGGTCAATGACCGCCAAGCTTTGGCTATTTATGGTCAAACGCCCCACTTACAAAGACAGAAAGAGTATACACCCGGGCACCGTTTTTGCAACCACCTGTAGAATTAACTACTTAGCCTTCTTTAAGCTACTTAGTACCCCCTAATTCTATTCTGCGTGTGTGGAGTTTAGAGAAACTATTATCCAAGCAAGGGGGCGGCCGCCAATGGAGGTATGCTGGCGGCTCGCCATGTGACAATAACTCAGATTGTTTTGGAATGAAGTCACAAGTGTGTGGAGGTTAAACTGAATTCAAAATCCACTGTATTGGACGCACTGTAAAGTGTGACAGGTGAGGTCAAACTGATTCGAAATCTACTTGGCGAGACACTACGGCGGCGATTGTCATTGATATTGTTGCTATATAAAAACTGTCATGTGCCGAGCGGGAGTTAGCCCCGGACCGATGGCGGACCCATCCGTAGGGCCTCCCCAAGGCCACGCCCACAACACCCCAGGAGACCACCAATTTCTCAGTCGAGGAATTCCAGCCTAAGGTGTCTCAGACTCCAGTTCCAAAGACTAAATACTCCCCAAACGTTTTCGGTTGACTGGACCTCTGGACAGCACCAGATTCGCCAGTACAGGACAACAGGAGTTGTTGAGTTGTCTGGTCTGGCCCGAGTGATCAGAATAAAGCGGAGGTACCCACACCGTTGTCCTTTTGCAGGCAGGCTGAAAAAGTTCGTTACAGGAGACCAGGGGGTGCGAGGGTATTAGGAAATGCACGGACCTTTGTTCTAGGTGGAGAAGGTGCTGTTGTTTAGCCAATCTCATTCAATCAACCTGACTTTTCCACAGAGAGAACGGTGTTAAGACTACAGTACACCACCATTTTCTACGCCCTCATATTTATAAGTTTAAACACTTGAATTCTAATTGCTACAACATGTCACTGCCTCTGTTTTTTCACTAACCTTCGTTGAACTTACAACTTGGCGCGCCTCTATGTCTCCATGACCAGTTCTTTAATTTGATCGTCGTAGTAGAGACCGTTATCAACTAATTGAGAATCAACGATGGCCAGAGAAGGGACGTTATCCGCGTGGCTGACAGTCTGGTGGGGTCAGGTGAAGAGTGAACTTTTGTTGGCTAGGGAACAATATTAGCTCTTCACCCTGCAAGAGTTCAGCCAGACCCAGAGATTTGCCTGTCAGATTCAACCGAAATAAACTATCGGGCGGCCCGCATCCTCAGTCTCGAGCCGTTCGCCGTCATCATAGCCGGAACCCTTATCCGGACCCCTGATTTTGCAAAGAGGGGTAAGCAAGCAGTACGGTAGGTCTGTAGTACTAGCTGTATACGGATAGCCCTTTGCTCCTTCCTCCCAACTGAATACGGGATCCTGTCTCCCCCCTTCCTTCCCCCTTCTTTTTCTTCGTATAATTCGTCGCTGGGCTGTCCTTTGGATCCTGTCCCCACGAGTTCAGGAGCGCCACAAAGACAGACACCTGGGTGCGTGATCGCGAGAGGAGACGCTTTTGAATCTGGCCGCGTCCAACAACGCCGCGTTCACTTACAAACATAGTGCTGATTGGACGAGCTAAACTAGTCTGTCCGAAGAGGCGCTGTGGTTCGTATCAAATGCAGCTGGAGGTGCAGCTGCCAGTGTGTTCAGGCAGCCACAATGGCCGCAAACCTACCAATCAGTGATTCAACCAGCGGCAAACTGTGGTGCTTTCAGGTCCTTGAAATTAATAGGCTGGCTAAGAGGTTTCTCCACGGCAATGGATCAGTGCCACTGGACTCGGCGTCGCCGTCCACAGTCCATCTACAGTCCCCGCCAATTGAGTTTCTGGAGAGCGTTCTATAAGAGTCACAAATCTCCTCAGGTTGGACTGTGATTCTACCTCGGGACTCATCAGTCATTGATATTCTGCTACCTAAACGCTTGAAGATTTGTTTTATCTCTACAACCCCAACCATGGCTGCCAAAGCGTCAAATTTGACCAACTCTAGCTGCGACTTTGTCGTCGCCACTACTCAGGCTAGTATTAACTCCGGTCTGCTGGAGCTTCTCAACGAGGAGACCCAACCGAAACAATATGTGTGTTTTGTGAAAAAAAGCCGGAAGGACCCTGCCGAGCAAATCAGCTTGGAGGATTTGTTGGTCCAGACCGAGGGGGTCAACCCATTCTATATCCCCGATCAAACCCCCGAAGATGACGAGCGGATTTCAAAGCTTAAAGGTGCCCATTTCAAGGCAGGTGTCATGCTCCAGATGGGTATACCAGAGGGCTATACGCGCCAGAATTTGCCCCCGATAGTCACTCTCAAGACGGCAGACAGTGTAACCTTCAACTTGTATTGCAAACAGGCGAGAGTGGTCTCGATGGAATTTGATGAGGACGGTGCCTTCTTGAGCGTCTGCGAACAGCCCAAGGGACCCTCTGGCGATCTTTGGACCATGACGATGTCTGTAGATCTCACCACTGCAGGCCTTGATGACAAGCTTAATACCGATTATTTCAACAGAAATCTAAAACTCAAAAGCCAGCTACTTAAGGCGCTTTACAACCTCTCCGGCACTGCATTCAGCCTCCAGCAGCTACTCTTTGACTTTGACAACGGTCTGTTGGAGAAAACTCCCAATTTCTCCAACGTGACGAACAAGCAAGCAAAGTTTTACCTGGAAGAATATTTCCGCGACATATACGTCAAGGCGGCCAAAGAGCAGGGCCTTTCGCTGGTCGCTGTCACTGTCGTCTCGCAGGACCCCGATACCTCCTCGCTCCACATGACCGGATTTGAACGAACGGTGACCAAGGTGGGCGCCAATAACGGCGAGGCCTCGACCCTGAATTACCTGTGTGCCATCAATAACCACTCGGTGCCATCGCCAAATACATATTTTGACTGGAACTGGGTGTCACCGGAGGACATTAATCAGGAAAGCGGGGTGATTGCCATCAATCGTAACATTCTAGCCCAGCACATTGCCGAAAAGCTAAAGCCTGCGTGTGCAGAATCCTGCTACCTACCGATAGTCAGTGGGGAATATACTATGGAACTAAGGGGCGGACAGGCTCCCACAGTCACATTCCCACCGGAGGGCACCAAAGTTATACAGTTCAAGTACGCCACTGATACGTGGATCCCGGCCACTGTGAAGGGCATGGCACTTGACGGCTCAACTGAGATGGTCCGGATTAACATTAGTCCAGAGTATGACTGTGATGTTTACTTCAACCGAAATATAATCGTCGTCGACCAAAAGTTATGGATCCTCATTATTTATAACCCTGATGAAAGAGGCGGCGGAGCAGGGCGGTCTCTAGTGAAGCGAGGCGTGACTGACACATACGAGATATCGGCTGATCAGACAGGGGCCTTGCATCTGACTCGAACGGATGAAAAAACATGGGACGATTCCACCACCGGGAATCCAGGGGACGACCCGGGCTGGAACATTTACGACTATCTGAATCAGAAGTTCCGGGATCAAATATACGACCTTGCCTCGGGCCGGCTTCACGAATTCCAAATCAGCCAAATCGAGAACTTTGTGTTCCCTGGTGCCAGAACTTTTACATACAAGGAGCCCTGCTTCTCCGATCACCAGGATCTCGTCTGCAAGATAACTTATCTTGACCCCCATGAGGTTAGCCCATCCCAGGACCCCAAGAAGCCCCAAGGGACCCAGGAAGGCGAAGACGATCAGACATCTGCTGAGGATCCGCCTCCTCCCTCCCCGCTTCCTATCCAAACTGGCACCGTTGGGAAGCTAACGGCATCCACAGCGTTGATGCAAAACTACATCCAAGGGGAGATTGTGTCTCCCACGGGCAAATTCGAGGCGCTCCAGACTGGGGATGGCCATGCCCTGCTTTTCGGAATCGACTCAGCCGGGGCTTTCCATGTCATTGAGGAACAAAGTGGGACATTACACACGGGATGGCAGGTCCACGACCTCTCAACTGCAGCGATTCAAGTTCAGTTCCCTGGTGAAACCCGGGCGGTTGTTCGCACATTTGATGTTGGCCAAAGCGTGGTAGATGGAAGCATTGGGCTTATGATGGCTGTCCAGCTCGATGGTAATGATCATCTTTTCTTCTCGTTAGGTAATTCTAATGAAGATCTCTCCTGGATCACCAGCTCTCACTGGACCATGGTGCCATTCGATCCTGTTAACGAGGTTCCTCAGAAGATCGCTGTTCGTGGGGCACTTTTCGCGGAAACTGAGGAATGTAAGCAATACTTGGTGGTGGACATTGACCGACCCTCACAAAACGCGACCGATCCGCATATTGCGCGGTATCATATCGATTCGGCTTGCATAAGTGGCCACTACTGGGTTAAACACGATGTAACCATCGATCTCGCCGCCTCGAGCTATCAAAGTGCCGTGGGTCGGATGCGGGGGAAGCCGGTTGATGGCATCTACAACGCGGGCACGAGCGGGACTGGAGGAGCAGGACAACTGATTTATGAACCCGTAATAAACGCATATGGAGACGGCCCTGCTGCCCCGGTGCGCTTGGAACTGCCCGGCGGGGCCATTCCGTCGGCCATCGCCACGGCTCACAGTGATGGCCAGGATGGTAGTACGGATCTCTACACGGTCGGGGGCTCCACCCTGTATTGCTTCCCAGCGGACTGGGAGGAGGGCGTGAGTGAACCACTAGCACTGTGCACAAGTGACTTCCTAGCCGGAACCGACACTCTCCGGGCCATGACCCATGGGGGCATCACGACCCTGTGGGGACGTAATCAGAGCAATCAGGTGTACTACCTCTCAAGTCCGACCAGTCAGGTCTTTACCCCGGCGGCGTGGAGTGCGCCTGTTCCCATCCTCACAGAGATTGAGCATATGTCTGCCTATGTAAACTGCGCTGACGGAGGGAACACAATCTTTACCGCTGGAAATGGGCGGCTTGAGAGGATCATCCAGGGCTCCGAGGCTACCGGAAGGGTTTGGCGAACACATGAGATTGTTATTGCTGCACCTCCGCAGCAGAAATGTATCAGTATCCGCTCTTACACGACCACTATCCACGCCACACAATCTAACGGCAAGTCCCCGATCCCCAAGGCCACGGTCCAGCTGTCTTCCAACAGCCGGGCTCCGGTATATATCAATGGGATTTACTACGTGCTAAATCCCGTAACTCCTGTCCTGGTCTCTGCCGATGCGACAGGAACGCTTACGGTGGTCGAGACGATAGACAGCCTCCAAGCCGCCGTGCTGACAGTGTCTCTTGCCAACACAACCCTCGTCGTCAACCCGATGGACAATACAATGGCCAAAATAAACGAGCTGAGCTCCGCAGAGAAACTCCGCGGCGCGCAGGTCCCCACTCAGATAATTGCTGGTGGGATCATGGATTCACCCGGCCTGACACTCCTAGTGGATCCATCCACTAACGACGAGGACGTGGAGGCAGTCGCTCACAGCCTGGGTCTCCTGAAGGATGCCTATGACAAGATCCGTGACCCAAGCAAAACACCCAGCGTCACTGAGACCTCCATATGTCGTGATCCCCAGCCACAGGCGCTGGTCAGAAGTTCCGTGACCCACCTTGCGAGGGCCAAGGCCACCAACTTCGGGGTCTTCGATGATTTCTGGCACACTCTTGGGACAGCCTGGGGCGATTTCAAAGACTGGCTGGGCTCAGTGGGGGATGCGATCGCTGCTCCCTTTGGAGACCTCTGGCAGGGATTGAAGCATGAAGGCGAGGCTTTCGGCCGGCTTTTCTGCGACGCGGGCAGTGGTCTCTGGCACTTTGTCGTGCGGATTGGCGGCAAGGTCTTCCACACGGCACTGGATACCTGGCATTCATTCATCGGCGCTGCAAACTGGCTGATTGGGAAAGTGGTCGACTTTGCTAAGAACGCGTGGGCCTGGTTCCAATCCCTGCTCAACTGGCCTGATATTCGGCGAACCAAGCAGGTCGCGCACAACGTGATCCGTCTGTGGATGCAACACCAGGTGGATCAGATCCCTGAAATCGCCCGCCGGTGGGATCAAACCATCACTGAATTTAGAAATACCGTCAACCAGTTTGCTGGGATCACTGATTTTAGTCCCCTTGATGATAGTAACAATGTGCTGAAGAAACCTGCTACGGAGGGAGCGGCGAACCCTAACGAGTGCCAGACCCCGGACTCCCTACTGCTTGCCAACAAGTACCGAGATCATGCACATGAGCTCACGATTCTCGGGGATAACAGCGCGACGACCGACGGAGTAGAAGGGTTGCTGAATGATCTGCTGACCGCGATCTCCCAGGAGGGCGCTATTCTGGGGGCGGTATTGGACCAACTGCAAAAGCTCATCAAGGACTTTTCCACCCTCAGTATAGAAGAAATACTCAAGCGGCTGATGGGCATTGTGGCTGATACCGTGCTGTCCAGCGTACAGGTGGTGGTTGACGCGCTATTAAAAGTCCTCCATACCGTTGCGCAATCCCTTGTTAACGTGCTGGATACCAAGGTCCATATCCCTGTGATCTCCGATCTCCTGAACCTTGTTGGGGTGCCTGACCTGTCCTTTCTTGATCTCTTCGCCTGGATTATTGGCATGGCGTACACTGTGGTCTACAAGATCACCCACAACAAACAAGCTCCTTTCCCCGCTCATGATAACACAGTGTCCGCCATGATCTCCGCAAACTCCTGGGGAGAGCTTACCGCCCTGTTCGGGCAGCCCTCTGACCCCGGGTCCTTCTCCTCCTTCGCTGCTCGCCCCAGCCAGCTCGCTACCTCTTCCTCCGCCCCGGAAACGTATTGGTTCCGCCACGGCCACACCCTGGCTGCTCTTGTCGGGATCCCTCTTACCGGGAAAGCGATGGCCGACGCCGAAGGCGAAAGTATGCCCACGCAGGCTGCCGTTGCGGGGTTCGTGCTGACAGTGACCGCCGCGGGCCTGCAAGCCAGCGCCAACCTCTTCTCTCCTCGAGACCCCATCACCAATAAGATCATCACTTATTCCTCGGATGGCGTACTCGCCATCCGCCTCGGCTGCCTGGGTTACTTCTCCGGGGCATTTAAATCGGTCACAGAGTGGATAGGGGGCAAGGTGCGAATGCCGAAAATCGGCAAGCTGCAGATCAAAAATGCCCAGGGCATTGGGGCCATCGTGGATGCCGTTCTTGTGCTTCCGAGTATCGCGGTCACTGGATGGCACATCGGCGAGTTGATACAGAAGCCTGCGGGCAAGGTCCGGTCCGCGGCTATTTTGGAGGAATGTGGGAATGTGGTCAGCTATATCTCGCGGGCTTCAACCGCGATCGCGCTCAACGATCCCGAACCGGATTCTAAGGAAATTGCAGTGGGGTTGGCAGGTGCGACTACCATGATTGTAGCGGGATTTCAGTTTGCGGAGGCGGAATGGTGTTGATGGTTTAAAGAGCAGTTTACCTCGGTGTATTTAATAAAATCCTGGTCCTTTGTTACCCTTCCGAATTGGCAGTAGGTCTGTAAGTCCCGTTGACAGGTGGTTGCAAAAACGGTGCCCAAGTGTTATGCTCTTTCCGTCTTTGTATGTGGGGCGTTTGACCATGAATAGCCAAAGCTTGGCGGTCATTGACCTGGACCGGTAACTTCTACTGGCTGACTGCTACAAACCTTAGCTATGTTTGGTCTAGAGTCCCCACAAGAAAGAAACTAAGAGCATAGCACCCGGGCGCCGTTTTTGCAACCACGTGTACTATGAGTATATAGATTGGTGCTAGTTGCCTTGCACAAGCAGGCCCCATCCGGTCAAACCGCATAACTGCACTCTTTTTTATATTTGACCAGGGAAGAGTCTGTCGCAGTTCGTATGGCACTTTATGATCACCCGTCTGGAACCCATCGGCATGGTGGCGAGAAGGATTTGAACGCGGGGAAAGATGTATGCGTCATTACGGCAATAAGTGCTAAATTGCCCTTCTGCTATGTCATGCAGCCTGCCTTTGTGTGATTCCAGGTGCGCCGGATCAGTAGACAATAAATAGCAGGTGATGTGATGTTGCCCTGTACCCAGGCGAAATTGCGCTCCTTTCTCATCCCTGGCGCTCCGCCTCTCCGTATATGATACGGCATTGGGCACTTCTCCATCATTTCAAACACCAGTGCACTTGGCGCGCGGAAATTTGTGCCTTCGGAAATACCACTGTGAAGCAAGACCCCCACCGGGTGCTGACAACTGGTTTTCTATGATCGACATAACCTCAGGACTGAAAGGAGCCCAGGCGAAAACTGAATCTACATAATTGTGTCACTTCGTGCAAGGATGCTCCCAGGATTAATGACAAATCTCAGAACCGTTTGCTAGGACAGTCTCGGTATTTTACAGTACCACTTTGAGACCTTTAACAAGGTTATTTTACTTGATGTATTGGGTGGCTTTCTGGCAGCGTGCTGAGACCGGCGGCCACCATCTGGCCTCGTTTAAGATGAAGGCGGGTTGGCAGCATGTGGGACTCCACTTTGAGAGCTGGCGTTGAGACTGTTCTGAATGCGGAGAGGACGTGGAGCAACGCTGTTCGTCGGACTGTACCAAGCAATCGTAGGTGGGTTCTATCCTACTGTAAAGTGGTTATCCAGCGTTTGTCCCAATCCATCTCATTCAGGATTCCCCATTACCACCAAGGCGGACAACGACTGCATCACATCTTTTCGATTGTAAGGCCATAGTTCTGAAAATAACCTTTAGTACTTTATTTCCTTCTACCTACAGTATCCAGGCACTATTTAAGGAAAGTATTAAATCCTTAGTTAGGGTTGTCCGTGTAGGCTTGCTAATGATATTTTATGAAGGCCTTAAGCTCAGAAAAGAGCTCCTTAATCAGATTTAAATTAGGTAAATATAGGGGTAAATATATAAGCTTAACCCCTACTTATGAGTACATTTGCTCTATTCTCTTAAAGTAATAAAAAGTAGTATTATCTATAATAAGAATAGACTTAGGCTCTGGCCATCTTCTATAATAATAAAGCAGCTCTTCAATAAAATCTTTAAAGATGGAGGCATTAGTTAAGCCTTAAAAGACCTGTGATAACATAACCCCATCTTTAGCATAGGCTGGAAGAATCTAATAGACTAATACTGCTAATTATGATGGAATTAGGCTAACTAGGAGGGTGTTATACTAAGAGAAGACCAGCCTATTCTTCTAAAGCCTATCCTTTTATTACATCCAGATTCATTCATATAAATAAGATGATAGAAATAGAAATTAGAAATAAAATAAAAGTACTTATCCTATAACTCTAGATTTTACTATCTTATCTTCTACTTACTGTTCTTTAACCAGCCTTCATGTTTGAGCATGATTAATGCTGGAGTTTATTACCTATACCTAGAAGGCTAGAACTTGTCCTATATAAAAAGTACTATCTCATCAAGGTATAAATATAGCTTTTTAGTAGATGATTATAAAGAGCCTAAATTATAATTAGTATAAGATTCTATAGCTATCCTCTTCTATTGGGAGGGGCCTTCACACTGCTAAATAGGTGCAGGTTAAAGCAAAGCTATCTAATTATATGCTTATTACAGCTAGCAGCCTCTGCCATCTGGGGGGCAGTAAGTTCATTACTAATAATCATACGAATGGATAAATACTAAGGTTGATGCAGCAAGGTTAGGTGCCATCTCCGTCGCTGCATAAGGATGATCAACCGGGTTCTATAGGAAGATCACCCGGCGAGGCTTAGGAAATATTAAGCCATGTGTATACCTGGTACAAAGTACTGTAAAATATACTGGTTAGATATATATTTATAAAATACAATACAGAGATGTTGTAATAGTGGTCTTTAGAAGAACAATAAAAGTAGTTTAGCTAATCTTGGCACTGGGGTATAGAAAACAATTTAGTATAAGACCTGGGCGCCATTTTTGCAATCAATTGTATGGATAACCAAGGTGCTTACCTGCATGCCAATATATATTGTGAACCTTTTCATGTCTGTACTCCTTGACAGTTGAATCAACATTTGGAGGCTTTTTAGAATCATTATCAATCTAAAGTAACATAGATAACACTGCCTCTTTCTTGTTTAAAACATATCGGCAAGCTCATGCCCGAATATATCTGTCTCAGTATGCCCTTGATTGCTACTGTAATTTGGTTAACTTCCCCATTCATCGGGCATACGTTTTCCCCGTCAACGTAATAGCAGTGAAGTTGGCTAGCCAGAGGTCTTGCACTCTTAATGACATTTTTGTGAGCAGAGTTGCGACCATGACCATGCTCAGAATAACTCTTCAGTTTAGCATTATTCTCCAGATAGTATGTAAAAAGGTATACCGCGGCTCTCCAGATCTCCTCAACTCCCTGTCCTGTGAGGATAAGGCCGACTAGATTTAGCATAACAGCATTCAGGACGGCGGAGTCAATCTTATTAGAAACTTTAAGATATTAGAGATATTCTGAAGCTCTAATCTAACTAAGTGTGTTTATAGCCTAAGTAATAGCACCTCCACTAGGCATACCTACTTTTTACCCAAAGCCAGCTTTAGCTATAAGATATGCGGAAATAGGAACTTAAATGCCTGGCTTCTCCTACTAAGTGTTTTTATAGTACACTATCTTAGCCCAATCAAGTCCACTAAAGTAATTACTAATACCTATTAGGTTATAATGATTTGCTTTCTGAAGTTCAGCTCCGCAGACACATTCTAGAATAAAGTATTATATCATAGACTAGGTCTAAATAACCTCATCACAGATCCTACCCCTTCTGAGCCTCAAGCCACTAGCAGGCAAGTTAATAATAATGAATTAGCTGTCAAGTAGCCACACTACGTAGTATATTGTACGACAGACCTAGGTTATAAGCTAGATCATAGGGTGTGAGCAGACTTAATATCTGAGCTCCTTTAGCTTAGTGCCCAGCCGATGTCTAACTCTATAAGCCCAATTTTTTATTCTATCCCACTTGCTGATTCTATCTATTTGTTTGTACTGCTATGCTTAAATGCCAAGATAGATTAGAAGAAGTTATATGTGATACTTAAAAAGATTATCTAGTCACTGATAATTGCTGAGATTTATAATACGATAATATTATATAATATATCATATATGCTAGGTGGCATCACTATTAAAGGCCCTAAGCAGCCACTATGTCCAGCATGTTGTGTTCATGTCTAACCAGAACATGCCTTGTGTCTATGACGCAGATCCATAGTAACCACTTATTGAGTTCTGCGCTCAGTGGTGTTTCTGTCAATGACTGTTGCAGTAATGACATGATTGAAATCAGCACTTTCAAGTCTAATCCCCGCTACGGAATACAGCCAGTCACCTCATACCTGTGGTAAAAACCGCTACAATCTGCTGTCCATTTTCCTTTGGACTGTATGGTATAGATGTAGCTCGGTCTCGTTAATCAGGTCATGAGGATGCTAATTTCAATTAGCGCACTCAAGATTGTATTATAAAATGTTGCTATTCTGGATGTGGTTACACGGGCGCTTATCATAGTTACTATCAGGAGTAATTAGGAGTTGCTTTCGATGCCATATCCTCACTAATAACTTTGGAAATTTCACCATACAGTGCTGGCGAAACCCAGACAAGGTCAAAGCGCGAGCTGGGGTAATGAACCTCACCTTGCCATCCAATACTCTGTGCAAACCTTGTAATGCTGATGGCCGTAGCAGTATCATAAAATTTTCTATGTTCCCAGCAGATGAGGATTTTGCCAGTTCCTCTATAACCTTTGGCAGCCTTAGCAACACCTTCAGCATCATCTCTGTCAATCGTGACGTCGAGTCTCACAGCCAAGGCTTCGGCCAGAGGTTGTACGGCGTATTTTGGAATCTGGAATCGTTGATTAGTTGTAAACATCCCATTCAGTTAATAGACCAAGACTGAGTAGCCAAACATTCACCTGGGCGTTCGGCGATGATATAGTGAATGAATATTGAATGGGCTGCTCCCTCCAAAAAAGTCTCGAAGACGCTGTGCTCTTGCCAACGCTTCTTTAGAGAGACTATTCTCGCCATCGTTTGGCTTTCTCTCGGGCCTAATCATGTAAATAATTGGTAAAGCCTGTATAGGAATCAATATCTGGGGGTAAAGGCTTCTGACAATACAATCCTACTGTCAGATGAGTGCTTGCCATTTTAGTTCCTTTATCTCAATCAGAGAGGGGTAAGTTGTGTCAGGCAATTATTACTAGCGATTGTAAAAGGTCAATTTCCTAAAAAATGTAGAGAGAATAACACCAGAATTGACTTTTCTTCAAGGTCATGATACGACGCTGGAGGTGCTTCTTTAGCGCATGAAGGCCAGGAAAAGGACATGTATATGTGGCCTCGAGCATTGTCCCATGTTAAGGGAGCGTCTGGGTACCGATCTGGCTCTTCCGGTGTAGAAAAGACGGTCGTGGACATGGTGCTCTAGAAAGGTAGAGTAATAGAAAGCAACATACAAACAGAAGGTATGTATTTCTTGGGACTCCATGGGTACCTATTTATACGTCAGCATCCCATGTACCTCTTCCGTTGAACCTCGAACGTCTCTGGGCAGGTGACAAATCCAATTTGTTACAGAAACCTGTGATAACAACATGGATGAATATCGACGATAAGATGATTGATGGACAGGAGAAAGTTTTGCACAAGAGACTAGTATAAACGACTAGAGCAATCTTCGTTCCAGTGTCATAGAGCCGCAATCGATTACCTTCGCTTCTAGTCTGAATTTGGATCATATCAGGACTGGGCAATGGGCAATATATTCCTTTTTTCTTTTTTTCAGAGATACAGCGTTTCAAGGTGCCATATATGAAAGGGCTTATCCCCCAGTGAACACCCCATCACTCACAGTCCGGGATCTCCTACAACACCCCACGATGGCTCAGGGAAGCTTTTGGGAGTTAGCAATGAGGGAGTGAAAAATGCCAAGTGCGGCAGTGATGGGAGGCCTTTGTCTCTATAAGAATAGGTCGGGTTTTCGGATGTCGCTGATCCAAAGGCCTTGGGACCCATCGCAAGCGGCCAGTGGTTCTTCCCCTTCATCTCTTTTTCCAGACTCATCCTCCCAGTAAATTCAATTCATGCATAAACACAACGAGATATACTGACAGCCCTATTATCAGGCACGCCCTCGAGCCGTGTTCTCCGGACTAGGGATCCATTTCTTCCTCTATATCTCATCTGACCGGCGCTTCTATATATCATGCCTTTCCAGAAGTCGCCCCTCTCCATTGCTCACAAACCCCGCACGCTCCAAGGCCGTGGGTATGACCGTCGGGTTCATGATGAACGACTTGGGTGGGCACTCATATCGATCAAAGTTCTGTTTCAGAGAACGGCAAGTCGCAAACTGAGATTCTGGGACACCCATCATTCCGGAGAAGGTTATAGGATGTTACCACATTGAGGCAAATCCTATGCAAAAGGTCATTGGGACGATTTAGAGTTAGACTGGTCTCCCTCTTTACGTTATATAGGAGATCCTTGTTTATTATAGGGACGGGGGAATGCAAAAAGGTGAACACCGGACTAGGTATATATGAAGTAAGGAAATATACTACATTAAATCCAGCTCCGGGGAAATAAGACAAAGACAGAATCACCAACGCCCCACGATGTTGTCCATCACGCATGTCGGTCGATGAAAATCAGCTTATTTTTGCCACAGATACAATAGTTAATCCGAATGATGAGCTTATTGAAAACATCCATCAGATTGATCGTTTCGGGTTGCATCTTTGTCTTCCCCAGTCTCATATAGGCTCCTTTGTTGAACCTAGTAGGCTTTGGTATACTAGGACCTCAAGATCGTAAGTTCTGAAAAGCTAGCTGTGAGAATTAATTTATCCTGTCAACCTCCATACTCCTGTGCTGCGTTCCTGCAGTCGATGATTGGCAACGGTTCCAGACATGGGATTTTTGCTTGTATGCAAAGTGCAGGCGTGGGAGGTTATAGGGTGGCATGGGTACAAAATCTTGTTCGCCTAGGTACCTTCTTTCCTATTCTCAAGAAGATTGGTATTTGTTAAAATCCAGGGCTCTCGGAATGGAACAACCTAAGAATCACAGCAGCGTGCAAGCACCTGTACTCAAAACGTTGAACGATTTCTCCCATTTTCGATCAAAATGTAAGAGGACATCTTCCGGAAATTCCTGATGAGCCTTTTCTTCCGCGTAGTCGAGGGGGCTCTTGCCGATGGAGTCCCTGCTTTGCAAATCTAAAACACCATTACATCGAAGAAACTCTACAAGTTCGTCAGTAAACGCGCCATGAATCGCCCCATGGTGCATAAAGGTCTTCCTGTCGACATCTCGCGCTGTTGGATCCAGGCCACAATTGAACAAATATTTGAGGACCTCGTTGTCTGCGCCCCTGTGTCGCATTAATAGATGCAACAAATTTTGTCGTCGTGCATTGACAGATAGTGGATCAGCACCTTTCTGGATAAGGTGGAAAAATATCTCTCTCTCAACTCCCAGGTGGAATGAACCCATGTACAATCCCAGGGAAGAGTACTGCCTCGCATCAGGTTGATTCACGTCGCAGCCAGCCTGTATCAGGAAGTCAACCATGTCAATGTAGCAAAAGACGGATGAGACATGATGGTGCAACGGGTTCCTGCCGTTGCGATCTAGTGTATTCCAGACTCCCGAAAGTGCCTTGGCGCAGGCCTTTGACATGTACTGCAGGACATCTAGACGACCTTCGCGCAGTGCATAGTAGAACGGGCTCAATCCGTCGACGTCCTCCAGCAAGATATCTTGGCCTTCATCCACAAGTCTGCAGACAACCTCCAAATTCCCTTCTCTGCTGGCAAGATGGAGACAAGTCTGACGAGATCCATTCATCCGTGAAATATCAGCTCCTTTCTTTATAAGTTTGCATAGGATCGAAGATGCATAATCCTTGCGGAAATTTATCAAATGCTGAGGATACTCCCCACAAGCGTTAGCTGTGTTGACATCGATTATTTTGCTCTCGAGGAGTGTGTCAACAATATGTGCTCTAGCGTAATTGATGGCTCTGTCGATATCAAAAGCTTCTTCACATGCTGGATCCATAATTAGGTCGTTTAAGGACTCAATCGCGTATGTGCCCTTCCCCCATGCATCGTGGCATTCGCGGCCCAAGAGTTTGCCCCTGATCGCAAGATGCAGTGGGGTATCTCCAGTTTCAGAGCGAACGTTTGGATCGGCACCATTTCGGAGTAAGAAGCCGGTCATTTTTGTGCATGCATTCAAAGCAGAGAAATGGAGTGCTGTCAGGCCGGATTCCAGATTCGCTCTAGCTACCTTTTTCTGATCCTTGGGCTTCCTGTATGTAAAAATGTCCATTGTTGTTCGCCCAGGCCACCATCGTCTTCGTATCCTGGTATTCAGATCGAATCCATTTGCAAGAAAGTCTCGTGCCAGTCCTTCATCGAGATGTGCAACTGCATAAAGAAAGGGTGACATGTTATCCTTATCGCAGTCATATGGGGAGACTCCTTTGTCAAGCAGAAACTTGGTCATTGTGTCGTCATTGTAGTCTCCATTGCTGCAAAGGATATGGAGAACATTTTGATCCTCATCATCCAGAGCTCGCACATTGGCACCAGACTCAACCAAGAAGCGTATTGTTTTGACTTGGGCGTTTCCGGCGGCAATAAGTAATGCGGTCCGTCCGCAGGGGTCCTTATCTTCCATTTTCTCTGGAGACTGAAACGAGAACAATGGAAAGATACCCCAGCGAGCTGCGATGTGAATAAGAGAGAGACCACTACGCAAGGCGTTGCCAGTGGACTTGTTCAGGTGGTTGTAGTCCTTCACCCAATTCTTCCACGCTCCGTACCGGTCCTCAAAGAACTCTTCGTGCTCGTTCTGGACGACGAACTCCGTTTCGGCAAGGCCAGCATGCTTTGGCCAATACATGACCGCATAGCTGAGAAACGCCTGTTCAGGGGCTAATGCGGCAAGCTGTGGCTTCATCCGACAATTCTCGAAAATGACTTCAATGCATCGACATGACAATGCATAATTGGCCTTCAGTGCATCCATGCCCGGCATCTCAGTGACCAAAAAGTCCTGGACTGACGTATGCAAAAGCCGCACACAGCCTTTGTCTACGATTACCAACAAGCGGCACAAGTCAATAATCTCTCTTGTAAACTGAAGACGGCTGTCGTTGTCTTCATCAGGGTATATTCTGCATGCATCCGCTATTTCGGCCATTGTCAGCGGTCGGCGTGCGAATGCCACCAATCTCAGCATCTCCTTCATAGTCTGATAATCTTGTTCATCATTCTCTGCCATAAATGCTGCATCCACAAGATTTCGATATAAAGATTGTAACCCTCGTGGAAGTTTCTGCAGGGTCTTCAGAGGGTTCGTGGTTCGTGGCTCGTTCAACCGCTCGCACACAATTCCTACCCATAGAAACGTCCCATCAGCTTTTTCTGCCAGGGCTTGAGACACTCTCGCAGCCACCGACACAGAGTAGCTCTTTCGCTTTGCCAGGTCCTTCACTTTTTCGCAGATTGTTGCCTTTAGATCGGCAGTGATCTCTTGGCACGACCCTAGGTCTATGCACATGAACAAGGAGAGATACGATCGAATCTCAGGATACGGACGGCTCGTTATGAAAAAGTGCACGCTAGAAGGGATAGAGCTTTGGGAATAGCGGTCATTGAAAGATTGGTCGATCTGTCGCAGGATAATGTCTTGTTCATTGGGTTCGCATTCATCCAAAGCATCAACGATGCAGTATATTTCAGGTCCGCGAGGTACTCGTCCTATATCTATCAACAGGGCCCATAGCGCGTCAAAGGTTGTGAACAGCCGCTTTTTCTGAATTTCATATTTTGGAATTATCCGTCTGATAAGTTCTGGACGTTGGTTGATGATCTGATAGAGAAGTCCCCGTAATATAGAAGTGGCCGTTCTTTGACAGTCGGAGCCGGCGTCGCAGAAAAAGAATGATAGAACATTATTCCCAGTGGAGAAATAATCCTTTTCTGGAAGTTCTTCGGCAAGTGTGATGGCCATAGTCGACTTGCCAGTTCCAGGGTTACCGTAAAGCCACAGGACATTTGACTTGTTCCTGGCCAACCCTTTGTCCCGCCCCAACCAGGATTGTAGTTCGTCTGACTCCAGAAACCAGCTGCAAGTCCCCGAGATGCGGTTTCCTCTTCTCCGCTTCAATGAGTTCATATCTTCTTCAGGGTCGGTGATGAACAGATCTGCCAGGAACGCTCTCTCCTCGGTAGAGTCTGGCGCTGCGAGAAGGTCAGCTGATGTGGTTTGTGCAGGCTGGCGACCGCATACCTTGACCTTGCATCACGATTCCCTTCTCCGGTGGAATGATCGATAGCAACTTCTTCGCATAAGCTGCTGCTGAAAGCGCTGCATATCCTTGCCATTCGGCATGTTTATGGGAGTCGCAATAATCGCATATTCCTCGGATCACAAGTGTTGGTAGCTCGTTAATGAGGCCTGAGGCCTCCATCTCAAAGCAGAGCATCCCATGCTGTTCAGCTAGATGGTCTCGTGTTTCAGAGTCTTTCATCACCTGGTTCCCGGACGCTATCAAGCCATAGTGTACGAGTGGCTGGCTTGTTCTACGGGGTCGACGATCCATTAATTGTTCTTTGTCGCACTTCTCGCAATCTTGTCCCTTGTTGACATGGTGATAGGAGGAGCGAAACAGTAAGTCGGTGTGCTGTGCTGGAGCTGAAAACCCTGCCTTCATAGCGGGGTTCCGCTCCAGTGCTGCGCTCGCGACATTTGAGATGGCATCCTCTCCGGCCATTATTTCTTTCGACTCGAGTTGGCTCATGTGCGTTAGAAGAGTCGTTGGTGGTTGATTCAAGAAGCCTGTCTGCTCAAATTTCCCACCCTGAACCGCCTTGCCATAGTCGTACTGTACCACTCCGCCATGCTTCTTGCCGGGTTTGCCGACAACGACGTCGCCTAGTCGAATGTCATGACTTTTGCTTGGGACCCCGCCTCCAATTCCTACCATCAGTGCAAATTGAAGGCGGGGAAAAGTCAAACGCATGCGAGATGCAACAGTCGCGGCAGACACGGTTCCGTACACGCCATCTGGTAGGTAGGCAATGACTATACAATGGCCGTTCAGTTCTCCGAAGTCGTAGGCGTTCGGGTCATTGGTCCGTGGAGATGATCCGTGAGTTTCGTCCAGCATAACGCGGGCTGCCGTCGCCTCGAGAGGCAAGGCACAGATCCACGCAACCGTGTAATCATCAACCGTGGGGGGAGCCATCGTCTGCGCGTCATGGACGGACCAAAGATGAATAGAACAATTCAAAGACCAACAGCGTGCGGAAAGAGCCTGTATATTGACTGACTGAAGAGGATAACCACATTTTGAGTCGGAAGAGGGGTAATAATTCACAACTGCACATGCTGCAAGGCTGAACTCACCTGACCACCACAACATCCAAACCTAACATTTCCCACTACCAAACAAGACCGTATGCTGCTGAGCCTATGAACAGGCCTGCAGCCTAATACCTTCGCCGCGTTACCATGTATCATAACGGACTCGATTCTGGACTCGTGGACTGGCGAGGCGGAGTCGTTCTGTCATGCCAGTCGCAACAGCATCTTCTATTGTCCCATGGGCGCTAGCTCTGCCAAGGCTCAGTTCAACAGCCTATTGAGGACAACATCTTTCTGCAGGGTGCAAGCTCGTCTCAGTCGTAATTTGGAGGAAGACTAATCGTTATTATTCACGTCTGAAAAAAGTTTATATTTACGAGCTGAACATCACATTGATTTCCCATCAGCACGGAATAACTCTGTATACAAAGCTTTATTGTCTACTAATCGAGCCTTGGTCCACAATTTTGTTAACCATGGCTGAGTCCAATATGTCGGACAACTGAAGAGCGAAAGAATCAAAACGATATTGAAACATCAGATTATACTTGAAGTGGGTCCGAAAGATCATGGAATCCTTTAGCATCCCGAAACGTAGGATTGGAGAGCGATAACCGTCTAACCGACCCCTGCTACGTTGCGGCTTTAGATATTTCCCGTGCTCACATCTTGGCACATTCTTTGTCCGTCTTCATACTGCAGTAGTGTTTGTCGCTCCAACAATATTAGTGGGAGCTTCATGTGAGCTTTGCGGGAGGGCACGTACTAGCAGTATTGGATAGGTTCCATGTTACGAAAGTCGTCGGCACGTTGAGCACCAGGGCTTCCAGCTGTCACAGAGAAATTTCCGTGCTGGGTGACACCTAGACTGGGGTTTGGATGGATCCGCATGGGGTTCGATCCAACCCATATGGGTTTGGGTAGATGAACCGCTAAAATCGAATCCGACCCTCACCGAACTCGCAGCGGTGAGGGTTCGGTTCCTAGGCTAGGGAATCGCACCGGTTTCGGTTTCCATAGGGTGAAACCAATTCGAGTTTGGTTAAAACCGTTGGTTACGGTTTTTGCGGTTTTATCAGATTCGACTAACCAACCCACACTGTTTTAGATAAAAATCACTAATTTCTGGGATTTCCCTAATAAAATTAATATCACTAGATAGCCCTAAATCTAGGCTATCTAAATATATAAATATCGATTTAGAATACCTAGTAGTTGCTAAGATATAAGGGAATAATCATTTCTGTCATAGGTTGGTATAAAAGTGGTGCTGGTTTATATATATATACGACCGATGGTTGACAACTATTATGGTTTAGAAATGATTTTTTTACCACCATCCATTCAACACTATAGATATTGAATCGATATTTTAGATATAGATTATTATGATGATAAATACTATATATTTCATATAAAAATATTAATTTTCTATAGGTATAGTGATAGTATGGTAGATAGTATGGTAGATAGTATGGTAGATAGTATGGTAGATAGTATGGTAGATAGTATGGTAGATAGTATGGTAGATAGTATGGTNTAGTATGGTAGATAGTATGGTAGATAGTATGGTAGATAGTATGGTAGATAGTATGGTAGATAGTATGGTAGATAGTATGGTAGATAGTATGGTAGTTAATGATTATTTGAAATTTCAAAACCGTAAACATTCACCAAATGATAGTGGTTAAACTCGAACCAAATCAAACTGAATCTAACTATGGTTAGTTAGCACGTGCCTATCTAGGCCTATCTAGGCCTAGTGGCGGGTTTTTGCGGTTAAACTTGAACCAAATCGGAACGGATCAGGTTTGGTTCCGATTTCTAAAATTTGGACGAAACCGCTGCGGTTCGGTTACAACCATAGTTGGACTCGCCCGAACTCGGACCGAATGCAACTCTACCTGCAGATGGTCAACACCATCCTGTAAGACCATTAGGCAGACCACAATAGTGTTAATAATGAAGGGCGCACAGCTCTATAGTGGGCGGCTTATAAAGGGCAGATAACTATTGTAAGATGGTTGCTCAAAGATGCTGATATTCACATAGATATCATAGATCACCAGGGAGCGGACGCTCTAGAGGCCGCATAAAGGCAGCATCATTTTGGTGTTATAGGTCTCCTGTAGGCTTACCCAGTGGGCCATCGCCGCGACAACATTTTCCAAGGCTGACCTGTCTAGCTATACTTTTCCTGAGGAATCACCGCTCCCAGTTACATTGATTGGAAGCCATGAGTCGCCAGCAGGATTCCTGTTGAATGCAGAGGATCCAGATGGACCCAGCTCCTGGAGGCATAGTTATGTGTTGGCTGTCAAGAGTTGGAATGATTGCAGCATATCGTACAAGAGTGTATATTCCAAAGCAGGCAATGCAAATAGTATGCCATTCACTTTGGTATGCAGAAACGACCTGCGGTCACGTGGCATGAAAGGCTCGCCATGGAAACTTTTGATAATCAAACCTTATACGTCCAGTGAAAGTCGAGTCTGGAGAGACCGGTCTCTGTACACATCTAATAGATTGCAATCAATCTTTATTAAGGGAGATGTTCGGTGGATTATTCTCGCGATAGGAAAGTGAAAAATATTATTCACTGACTTGCTAGGTTTGCTCCGCCCGCGAAAGGCCGTTGGCGCTTTAAGTATCTTTGTTTATGAGAGCTCTCACAAAGTCCCAGCAATTCCCTCCAACCGCATATCCACTTTCATATTATGGAATTGCAGGTTCGTTCAATCCTATCCTTAGAAGAAAGATTCGCCTCATCCGGACCAGATGTAGGATGGGATGCGGTCGGTAACCCCATGGCCACCCTCTGGATCCATATATAGTTTTGAAGCTTGCCTTGTAAACTTTCCGGGTGCGTCCGATCAGGGATATGGCCCATTTCGTGAAACAGCCGGTAGCCCTTTGGTCCTGCTCTCTGGGGTCAATACACGCCCTCCAGAACAACCAGTTGTTAGGATATCATGCGCATGATATGTCACTATGATATCTTAATGCGCCCCATTAGCTCGGCGGTAATCGGCCCCAATCCCTAGAACATCCAGTATTGCTGGGGCTGATAGCTAATGGTCACATCATGAGATAAAGGGCGGTAGAGTGTATCCACAGCTAAGCATGCGAGCATTACAAGCTTGGATGCCTAACTATGGAAAAAATCTATAAATTACACCTCTACGTCCAGCAGGCCTGTCATTTTCAACCTTTCCTATTCAGTGCACTCACTCAACGCTCCCCAACAAACAAACCCGTCCATCAGCTTATTTTCTACCTGCGCACAAGGCATGCGTCTGGTTCCTCACATGGAAAGCGCAGCAATCTACTATGAATTTATACCATGGTACTCGGTGACGGAATTCGTCGCAACATTGCGACAGTCAGCAAAGAAGAATGTGATCTGTTTATTAATGTAGTGAAATAATTGAATCAGTTTTATTACAGCCCTACTAGTTCTAGAACCAACTTCCCTGCAGGTCATGTCTCATACTGGTTTGTATAGGATGAGATTCACCAAAGCTCCTACATATATAACTATCCGGCCTCCATTCCATGGCATTGGGAGCTGTGTAACTGCTATGAAGCCCTGCTCTGAATGATCCATCCAGAGTTGTCGCTGCACTATTGGGATTGGAACTCTGATCCATCCGCCAGCCCTGATGGCTAAGGCGGCGTTGTTAACCTTTGTGATGCTAATTTCATGGGGAATGCTAATGATACTGTGAATGAAGGTTTGGTCAGTGAGCCACTCTTATTGGCAGGCTTCTACTTGGTCAACCCATCTGACCCTGACCCTATAGATGGCAAATTTCGCAGCAATACCCCCATTTATTTAATCGATAAACGTGACCCAAATGATACATCTACTTGGAGATACCCTTTGCATTCTAATCCCACAGATCCTCCTAAGACACTGACCATATGTAAATCAGCTGGTAGACCGGCAGTAGGAGGTCCACGGTGACTGAAGGATGAAGATATATGGAATGCAAATACCTGGGAATAATTTAGAGATCTCATTGAGCATGCTCATAACTGGGCACACCCTTATTTTGGGGGAAATCTTGGCAATGCCTACATTTCCTTTTGAGGCCCGTTCGTGTTTCTTCTACATTTAAATATTGATTGGCTTTGGGCTATGTGGCAACTCCAGCCAGGCCATGTAGAGCAGCTTAATCCCAACCAGGTTTACCATAATGAGAGCAACTCAACTGGCCATGGTGGTGTTAAGACTGGTGGACCGTTCTGGGGGATCCTTAGCCCACTAGAACCCTGGGCCGGCTTCATAGCTCAAGTGACTGCAACAGGTATCATCGAAAACCTTTTGCTGATTCGTCCGTGGTTCGCACCGGAAAATGAAGAACATATGACGGGGAACTACAAGACCGCCTTAGACGTTTCCGTCGTCACCCCGCCAATCTACGACGCGGCACCACACTCCAGTTAATGTGGCGGAGCAGATCTTCATTAACTGAAGGTTAAGAATGATTTCATGGCATTCAAATTCAAATGCTTTATCAACTGAAGACACAGACACACCTTAGGGAGTTGATTAAAATTCTTGTTTTCAACCTGTGTCTTAACGCAAAGTCTGTGAGAGAGAGATTCTCTTCAAAATCCCGCTTCTATCAGTTGGTTAGGTGCGTCATCCTTCTTAAATTGACTCTTATGATCCGTTATATGGTTCGAAGCAAGATGCATTCAGTAACGCTACATCGTAAATTTTGACATACTTGCAAGCTCGGAGACGTACATGAGCATCTGTGGCGTCTTGACCTGCATCTATGGATAGATCCGCTATGGTTGATCGTTGATCATATCCATGGTTCTAACTTTATGGCCATGGATCATCATTGATCATTATCGATTTCAACCATTAGAAAATAGAGATCTAATCTATGAGATCACCCAGCTATGAGATCATTCAATCTTCGAATGGCCTATGCTAGAAGGAATTGTCTACAAATACACCCTTGAAATCACCCTTAGCTAGTAAAAAATCAACTAAGGAATCAAGGCATTAAGCCAAGGTATCCTTAGCTATTATTTCACTATTTTCATTCACCTTTCTAATGTATTCTTACAGTGAACCCCCGCCACAGGGAACTGACGAACCAGGTATTCCATAGCTCTTTCCAAGTTTGATTTCCGGTAAGCTGTCAAAAGATCTAACAGCAGTATGGTCTCACGCAGTCTCTCCGCCTGCCGTACCAGCAGGGCCCAGCAACTTCCAGGCACAATGGACGCAATTGCTTGCTAATTTCGATCCAAACCTTCTTGCCGATCTGAGACGACGCGAACCCTCAGCCCATTCGCTCTATGAGATTGAAACAACTATCAACGGGCTTTGCAGACTTGTTCAGAGGGTTCACCACTTGAACAGTCAAATGGGACGCGCTATCGTCAATGTCGATGCGACTCAAGAACGCGCGAGACAGTTTGTGGCCAACACTTCCGAGGCGACTATGGAGATGAGAAGGGAACTTGGTTGGAATGTTCGAGAATTCGACATTTCTCTTCTTCGCAAGATACGGCGCTCTTCGGCGCTCTCGCTCGTGCTTGGGGCTGGCGCGTCGATGGCGGCCCCTTGCAATGCTCCAAGCTGGCCAGCACTAGTGGAGGGTCTGCTGCGCCAGACAATTGACAGAGTCATGGAGCTTTGGCTTCCCAAGCCTCAGGACTTGGAGAAGCTGCCTCCTGAGGCTCCACGAGGGCTTGTCAATGAGAGGTTCATCTCCAGGGACCCAGTAGAGAGTGCAGGCTCCAACTGGACACCTACCTTTGCCTACAGTCATACCGGTGAGAATGGTGTTCAGCGGAAGTTTACGATTGGCTATTACAGAGAATCAGCAAAAAGATACCATGCTGACGAAGAGATGACCGCAGTCGAAGTTCTGCAGCGTATTAAAGAGGCCCAGAGGAATGATCAATCAGTTAATGCTGATATTTTGATGCGCGGCGCTGATGTTTGTCATGATCTTTGCGGACAACGACTGTTTACCCTTATGACAGCTATGCTCTACAAGGGAGATAGGATGCCGAGCGAGACGCATCGCGCGATCGCAAGATTAGCACGGAGTCAGTTTGTTGCCGAAAGGGAGGACCACTTTATGGGCTGGGACGGCATCATCACATATAACTACGATGATTTCATGGAGCAAGCACTTTCAGATCTACAGATTCCCAGCACGGCAATTGCGATGCGTGGAGACGAAATAGCAGGTGATCCGAACTCCTTCGCGAGATCAGTCGGGCCAGGTGGGCTATACCTCCCAGTGTACCATCCGCATGGGTATACACCGAAAAGACCATTCCTTATAACAACAGTACCATACGTCTTCGCCACAAGTGGCTATCAGTCGCAATATGGGCAGTCCGTCTCAAAGGTCCTAGAACGCTTCAAGTCTGACTACCTGGAGAACCCTGTTCACGTGGCCATGTATGTTGGGTGTTCATTCTCAGACAACTACATGAATCAGTTGCTTCAAGATGCCTTTGAAAAGTGGCCTGGCAGATATCATTATGCGCTGTTGCCGTGGCCAGGTGGTTTGGCCGACGATCAGGAACCCTCTGGTCAAGAGATTGAGCAGCGGTCTGGACAATACCTCGCTATGGGGATCCGCCCCATCTGGTTAAGGAATTTTGGAGAGATACCGCACATTATCTCGCAGCTTGAGTAGGAGCATGGCTAAAGCTCAGGCCAAGTGTTGGATTGGTATCTTCATCGACAGCACGGCTTTCTAAATAACGATACCAATTAGCCCCTGGGTGCATCTTGAACCGAGTCAGCCGGGGTAACCGCCCATGCAATCAAGACATATAGTGATTGGTGCATTGTTGGGGCCCCGTTTTCTAGTTCTTACTTTAGTTTAGTCTTTATCTTCCTGTTATTGCTTATATATCAAGTGTTTTTGCTAGTCCCCAGAAACCCAAGCCACTTGTGACGGTCCTATCCCGCTGCATTGATAGAGTTAACCACATGGCCAAAAAGGCACTGTAGAAGACCCGCAGCGGAACTATCATGATATAGTAAGGGCAGAGGACATTACACCACTCGTTTTCTTTTGTTCTAGGATCGATTACTGGCCCCACTTAGTATTCGCTGAATATTGGCGATCGCTCCAGGAACTGATGGCCAGATTCAACCGGTTCAACCACAACATGTAATCCACGTTAGCAGCGTGATTCAACATATTGAAACCCTGAGTAACACTTTTCTCCCTAATCATCAGCGACGTTGCTCATTCATAGCGAGACAACTCAAGCGTTCCGTGACAAATTCTTGTAGAGAACCTGTGCTAGGTCGACTCCTCCCAAGATGGAGGACGGGGCCCTTTTGCTCATTCTGTACCATGCATGTCTTTTTGCTGTGGATTTGTTGGTTTCCTTTTTGCCCTTGAGCTTCCATTCTTTCAGCAAGCTGGCGAGTATTACCTTAGTCAAATGTACAACACGCTGGGCCTTTAAGACTAGGAGGAGTGTTCATCATGGTTGAACAATGCCAACTGATGTATGATTTCAAAGTGTTGAACCATGTCGATTACATTGATAACCTATCACGGTTGAGCTATGCAGCTGACTGAAGCAGCCATCTCAAAGCGGCGGCCAGTACTATTTGGTGGTACTACAGGCGACTCTGAGCCTTAAGAGCTGCGCGAGTGTTCATCGTGGTTGAAAAGTCTTGATGGTTCAGGGTTCAACATGTTGAACATGCCGCTTTAAAGTGGTTGAACTGGTTGAACGTGGCTGTTGGTTCGCGATCGTTGATTTTAAGGGCTTCAGCGAGTACCAAGTGGGCCTGGGAGCCAATCGGAGACTGTTTTCCCCGGTTTTCGAAGAAAACAAGACGAAGCATCGTACTCATGTTGAAACATGTTTGCGATATTCATGTAATCATCCTTGAGGACATCAAGAGGCTGGCGAATGGAACGCGAAGCGAGGTCAAGTGCAGCTGGACCACTGCAGAGGTCATCGTTCACACTATACAGGCGTCGCCGAAGTTCCGCTCCACCACCCTCACTCCTTTGTTCTTGGTATTTTCTTTATATTGTACAGTTCCTGTGCATCACAAACTAGTCTGGCTGATGATTCATTCTGATTTGAGGGACTTTCTCATCCGCTATCTCGTTTCGCGTTCAGAAACGGAGTCGGCCGTGCTCTTTGGACTGAGGCACGCAAAAGACAAAAAGTTATCAATAAATGACTGCTCCTGCAACTCAAGTTAGGTTGTTTCATACAATTAGGGAAAGATACGTAGAAGCGGACGGCTCACACTCATGTCTATATGTAATTTTATTACCCTTGGATGACTGGGAGTAGTCAAAGTGATAACAGTGTCAACGCCAAGTAACTAACGTAATCCACCACCGAGCCGGTCAACACCCCCGAGCCGGTCACCCCTCATCCGATTTCGACGCATTCAAACGTTTGAAGCTATCCAAATCAACCAGAATAATAGATTTTTATTAGATCTAGCTAGTACGGCGTTTGGGGCAGCTAGATCTAGTATGCCCAATAATAAAGCAATTAGAACACCTCAGTAGAGCGCATTTTGGTGGTTCTAAATATAAACACACAGCATCAATAGATGTCCCCCCAGCCTCATTATCTTACTTTATTCTTGCCTAGATAAGATCCCTAGCTTTCTGAATAGAGAGTCCTTCATTAGGAGTTATCTAGTGTCTAGATTACTTCCTTTTCTGCTTCTCTTTCTCATTTACTAAGTGTAGATCATGATTCTTCTTTGCAAGAAGGGCAGCGCTATAAAGAGTAATCTCACAGCCCTTAATAAGCTATTCTAATACTCATTTTAAAGGTAAAGATGGACTCTGAGATCCACACTTAAGAAGCTTCTTAATTAAGGAGGCTTGCTTGCCTAATTACTAGATATTATAAGGTATTATAAGTGTAGAATTTAAAGATTAACTCCCTGGAATCAGGGGGGTATCAAGGCAAATATAAAGCTGATTAAGTACCCTTACTAGATTAAAAGGAATAATTCTATCTGCTAGGAGGCCATTCTTGATATTCCCAGGCTTAAATATATTACTATAAGCTTTTGGATAAGCCTTAAGAAAATCTAGTTTATCAATAGAGTTATATCCTAAGTGCATCCTTTGCTTAATAAGGCCTCCATAAGCACACTTTAATAGGCTAAAACAACCAATATCTAGTGGTTATAGGAGATAAGAAGAATAAGGAGGTATATAGATAGTGATAATATCATTATCCTTATAGGCTTTATTAAAAGCAGGTGTTAGATGGCTCCCATGGCTGTCTAATATAAGCAAGCAATATCATCTAATTATATATAATGTTATTATAGGAATAAAGACTTTTTAAAGCCATTAAAGGCCTATCTCATCTATTATCCATCTATTCTTACTAACCTTAATCCACTAATTAGATGGTAAGGCATAGTCTTAATATTATCTCTCTATATAAACCTTCCCTTTGAAGATTATACAGGTAGGGATAGACCAGCTATTTATATTAATACACTCAATAGTTATAACCTACTCATGATTGCCTGGCTGTAAAATATAAGGTTTCCCAGGCATATTAGATCTAGTAACTACCTTAGTAGTTATAATTAGACCCATTGCAAAGCCTATTTTATTAAAATTAAAGATATCTGTTGGTGAGAGCTATAATTCTTACCACTATAACCAGTGTCCATATTGGACATGACTTCTAGATTGATCTGCTATGGTTGATCATTGATCATATCCATGGTTCTAACGGCCATGGATTCATCGATAATCACTAATTTCAACCATTAGCGAATAGTGATCTAATCTATGAGACCACCTGGCTATGAGATCATTCAATATTCGAATGGCCTATGCTAGAAGGAATTGCCTATAAATACACCCTTGAAATCACCCTATAGCTAGTTAATAAAAAAACTAAGGAAAAAAGACATTAAGCTAAGGTATCCTTAGCTATTTTCCTTCTACTATTCTATTCTATTCTACTACTATTCCTCCTATTCTTCCTATTCTTCCTTTATATCTAGGCAAGCTATCTATTCCCCTTTGCATTCGTGAAATTTCCTTTGTCATTTATATACTATTTCACTATTTCTACTCACAGGTAGATTATAGATACCTAAAGACTATAGATCTAAATAGTTTAATAATTCTTACCTTCTCACTTTCCACTTCTTAAGGCTAAAAGACACAGGATAATTAGATAATTAAATAAATAGGTTAGATAAACCACTATAAATATTAAATCTATATACCTACTAAATTCTACTGGTCATGTGCACCCAAATAGGTTATCCATACCTATATGGGTTGGGTATCATCCATCCATATCCATGCGGATTGGATTAGGGTCAACCCCTATCCAACCCAAAGTGCGGATTGGGCGGGTTGGATATGGATTTGCGGATTGGGTCAGCCAGTCTAGTGACTCCCACTCCGCCCATACTCAAGCTGTCCACTTCCGGGCAGAAGATCATCCCTATAATCAGCTACGTAAAGACATCTATGTAGTCTCTCCGCGTGAGACCAAAGCTGGTCCCATCGATAGCTGTCCTGGAAAATATGGGGGTTGGCTTTCTACCGTCCTCTGCAGCCTGTGCTATCGGCATTGAGTGGTAGTAAAACCTAATTATTCCCGAACTGCGGCCTATGGGGACGACGCCGTTGAAATCGCAGGTGGAGTCAAGGACAAGATTTTGTGTCAGCCAGGTCAAACATCACGCCCCATGAACTGGCTTGCGATGCTGGGGCTTGTGTTGCGCACAGAATGTCAGTGAGACGATGGTGCGAGGTCCTGGAGCCAGCTAGTCCCTTTATACGGCTGATGTGGTGGATAATGTACTAGGGTGGGGTTCTAACAGCTGGGTAAACATTCTAGTCGATCTCGGGGGTGGGCGTCTTGCTGATCCGATACTGCTCAGGAAATATACCATGATAGCCACAGCGGAGGCTTCGTTGCTGTCCATTAGCTTTGTGCTCTATGCCACTTTTAAGTGTCTGTGTTGGTGAGACTGATGGCTGATCCACCGTACCAAGGCTAAGGCCCTATCACCTTTATCTCCGATATCGCCAGATTATTACTAGATCAACCCCGTGTTTCCCCTCTCTCCAAGCTCCTTCTGTTCACATTCCATCTTGGTCCTAAGAGATAAATCCAAAAGACACAAACATGTCATTCTATCCTCCCGGCTGGGACTACGAGCGCGTAATGAACTGCCGCGACGAGGACTTCGCCTCCCTCACCGAGGAACAACACATAACTCTATTAAATGGTCTCAAGGAAGCAGGGTTGTACCAAGCTTTCGCAGACAAAATACACCAAAGATTCAAGGAATCCCTGGAAGCCCAACGACTAGCCGAAGAAGCCACAAAAACAGAGGAGCAGAAACTAGCCGATCGCGAAATCAGGGCTCCCTACATCAACACCCTGAAGAATGTCTTCAAGTTCGAGCCGGAATGGTCGGAATGGGGTTTCGTGGTCTTTCGCGCGACTGCCTACGGGCCTGAGCATGAGGCGAAGTGGGCGGAGTTTCGCCGGCGCTGGGACCAGATCATTGAGGAGGAGCATGCCGATCAGCGCGGTTTTCATCCCAAGTCGGATCGGGCGATTGAACTGCTGCGGTTTCGGTGGGAGGAGGATCCTGCGTTGGACGGGGCGTCGCCGGTTGAGGTTTCTCGGTAGGTGGTCTGGTCCCTACCTAATAGGTTATTTCTTTATGTTCTCTGTTCTAACGGGAATAGGCGTTTCGACGAAATGTGGAGGGATCTTCCCACTGGACTCGCCACGTCGGCCTGTCTCATGGTGACACCCGAGGCTTTGGAGTCGGTCCTCAAATCACCTCTACCTTCTTCAGCACCCCTGAAGGATCGCAAGAAGATTCCTTTTGTGGTTGCAGTCTCCAGGGTAGCGCACTATCCACGCCCGGAGCTCACGCCTGCCGAAGAAGCCGAGGATGTCTTTGGTCGAGATTTCAAAGGATACTTTAAAGTTGCGGTTGAGAGGCTTTTGAGCAATTTCTACCTCTTGGTCGCTCGGGATCTCATGGACCTCCCTCGGCTGACGGTTCGCATGCAACATGACAAGGATATCTGGTGCGATGCGTACCGGGGAGGAATACACTACTATGTGGAGGAGTCCGGTTGATTAAGAGACCTTCCGTCCTTTTTCAGTCACTTTTTTGGGGACAATAGCTGGAACGATTATACACAAAAAGGCGATACTTGTCAGTTTGCCTCCTTCAACCAGATCATTTCCCCTTGTTTTGTCGAAGCCATCAATCCGGAAATCGCCGCCAAATGCACCAATCTAAAACTGGGTGTTTATTACTGTGTGCTTCAGACGGAGAATTGGAAGGCCAGAATAATTCACGCAGTCGTCCCGGTCCCTCAGTGAGCTTTGATGCTTCCGCAACCGCATCGGATTTGCCAGGGACTCCCGCATTTTATGTGAATTTTTGCGAAATTGCTTCTGCGCCTTCTCGACGTCGAAGGCTGTCTTCTCCTGGCTCCGGCGGAGATCGTCCCACTCTTTGTCGCCGTGTGGCCGTGGCTCGCATTTGTGGCCTCGCTTGGTGCGTGCCACGCAGTTTCGGCCTCTCGCGTCTTGGAGGCACGGCCGGTCATAGAGATAGCTGCATGATGACCTTTGCCTCATAGATGTAAAAAGAGTTCCCTAGGTCTATAAGAGCTACTAAGCTTGCATTAGAGTAAAATAACATCTAGGGATCGGCCGCCAACACAAGAGATTAGAGGTTTTGTTTCTTCTCTAACAAGATTGAGAACCTTTGTTGCATGATATAACATTGTTGCTAAACCCGATGATCTGATTCCTCCAACCTTATAATAAGGACAATCAGTCACGTTTGCGTCAAGGGATAAGAGAATCAGTTGCATGGTGCTAATAGAAAACTGTCCGTGGTATTACTAGTCTCTTCTTTCCTCCAGGTGTATCCTCCCGACGGCGCACGATCTCTCATATATTGATACCCAAGTATTGCAATGACGACATAGACTTGGGCAGGTATCGCACTCTAACAACATTCAGCACATCCATATAATACCTTCCAACACCAACAGAGGAGGTGGATAACACCTTTGATCCTTCATTTTTTAGTAACGTTTTCTTGGGTCTGTTCCTCCGGCAGCTGTTCTAGCTCTTCTGCCTCTTCCACATCTGAGTCTTCCATTTCTGTTTCGTATGCTTTCAGGTGCTCCGGGATCTCCTCATACTTTGCGTCACGGTCGTAGAGTTCCTCCAGTTGTTGGGTGATTTCCTCTGGAACATCATAGTTGATGCGGAATAGATGGCCATCCAGGCACAGGACATCTGGCGCGACAGATGGCATGTCCGGGGCTTCATCCCCGGGTTGGGGCAAGGTGACTTCTGTGGCCATCGCGAGGGTTATTTTTTGGTGGTTAGAGATATAATAACTGTCTTCTGGCATATCAGATCTTGTTTTACTCTCCAGGCTCAAAATCTGTGATGGATCCTGTTTGTGGGGAATAAAGGGTAGGATGGGTTGATAGGACAGAGCAAATCTATCAGCTACAGTAAGCAATCAATGCAACCATCAGCCAACATACATGTGATACGGTCTGTTTTAGGCAAGAAAGTAAGTAATAACAAGCTAACGCTAACTAACTAGTAAAAGAAATTTTCTATTGGCTGAGTATAATCTATCGTTCATATCCCGTGGTATCCTGGAACAAATAGGCCCAAAGAACAAATAGGCCCAAATTACTGTCTAACAGAAACATCCTTTGCACAGTCAAGTCAAATTGGATTGTGACAACAGGCACACCTCAACCTTGAATTGCGTGCCGCGCAGTGTTTGCATCTATCTGGGTACAGGTGCACTATAATTTAGCGATTCTCTATGGACGTGATGACAATGGACAGCGCGATTTCGTGGTTAGTCCTACCCGGCCTTGACGAACAAGACAACCATGAATTTTGCCGTTGTTCCTTGTTTGGTTGTTCCCAGCCGATAAGCCTGCCAGCTTGGCCAGCCCGCCCATTGCGATGTCTACCAGGGCTCTTAAATCGATTGCTCTATTCCAACCTCGTGGACGCGGGGAGTTAACACCAGTCTCCAAAGGACATGGATGGCATGAGTAGCAACTAAAAGTTGCTACTTGATCCTCAACAGGTTGGCTCTTTACCCTCTACACCTGCAAGGCCATTAAACCGTCCCTGCGGCAAGTTGTAGTACCCATCAGTCGCCTACACTGGTGAAGAACTTAAGACCCATCAGCCCTTACTCTCGCTCGATTTAAGTTGAACTTGGAGAATTTTCTGACAATGCAGCGCTAGAAGATCTTGGCTTGAAGGGCACCATTGACTATCCCAAAGACAGTAATTTATGTACATCCCACCCATGGGCCAAGGCGCTGTCAGGCAGTGCAAGAATACGGGAAAAGGGATGATCAGTTCTTGGCACCGCAGCAGGATGCACAATAATTACTCTTTTGGGTTAGCGTAGAATGCACCATCGCCGAAAATGGTATACCATCAGGTCATAGCCACGGGCATGATCAAGCGCATGGTAAAAGAAATCACCATGATAATGTATATATACAGGTTGCAGCATTTTCAAAAGGCCCAACTGAAAATTCAGTTCAGCGAACAGCTCCAATAACATAACCAAACAAGTCATGGACAAAATATTCTCCAGCAAAAGCAAATCAGCCCAGCCAGTCTGGACCTTCACCATCGACAGCTCGGGAGAAACAATCTCCTGCTCAGGCAGATCAGTCTTCCAGCTTACCACCCAAAAATCAGAGCCACATCTTACCATCTCGCGTCTCCCACCGCCGGGACCATGGTCTCCAGCTCCCACCCCCATCGGAACCTGCACCGTCCACAAGTTCCCCTCTAGCAAGGTGGACGTCACTCTTCACGGCCACGAATTCCTGCTCAAGCGCGACTTCCTCAAAAGCGATAACCACCACTTCGATTATCCGCCGCTAGGGCACTTCAAATGGAAGCCTGATGCATGGGGAGGGAGTAAACTGGAGTTGTTTGATAACGAGCGGCGCCTGTTGGCAAGATACAACAAGAAGGTGTCTTTGAAAGGGCAGGGTCAGCAGATTGAAGTGTTAATCCAGGGGGATGAGCGGTTCGTGGAAATGGTGGTTGTGACGGCGTTGGCGATGAGGCATTATATTGAGGTGGAGAATAAGGATATTAAGAAGGTGACGAAGATTCTTGATGGTGTGGGAGAAGTTATGGGGGGTTAGTGTGAAGAACTCAACCATTATATACAGCGTTAATAAATGTATCAAGTATAGGCCATTAATAAAAACATCAGCCTACGTCTTCAAATATACGTCCTTCATGCCCTTGGCCACATGAGGATTCTCCACCAGTCGATTATGCCAAGTCGTCAACTCGGGGAATCGCTCAAGATCCAGGTTCACCTCGCTGGCACGGGCAACATACGGGAGGATAACCAAATCCGCCAATGTACTAAATTAGCTTGTCAGCACGCTGCATACGGTTGACGGTAGCCAACAGACATACCACTTCTTGCCCACCAGGTACGGACTCCGCGCCTTTTGCAAATGCTCCTCGAGATGCAGATACAGCCGCAGCGCCTTACGCGTGAACGACTGCTCGGCATTATCGCCGTGAATCGTCTTGCTCGGGAACGCAACCCAGTTATTCACCTCCTCGGCTTCCTTGGACCCCTCTTTGTACGAAAAGTGGCGGTCGGGGTCGTATTTGGTGAGAAGGTAGCGGGCGATATCGGTCAAGCCAGATACACCGGCCTTTTTGCCTTCGCGGGTGACGTCAAAGAGGATAGGGAGACTGGTGTACGCGCTTGCATCGTCGTGTTTGATGTCTTTGACGCTGTGGACGAGGTGGATGCAACGCGGTTGTCTGTGTTGTTAGTACTGAGCGACTGTGGAGGGAGTAGGGTACAGCATACCCGATAAGCTCAACCAGCATGGCGATGGTGGCACCCTCTTTGGTCCGTGGTGAGGCGTAGAGGGCGATGCGCCCTCTCTGCTCGTCGAAGACGTTCATTGCGATAGCTCTGGCGGGATAGGTGATCGGAAAGGCGAAGATGACTGCAAAACAAGAAAAGTGAGAGATTGTACCTAGGAGGCAACAGCGCAAAAGGATAGATAAGCTTTAGGAGCAACACGTGCGCATGCAGCGAGCATTCCTAAGTTATCCAAAGTCGACTGAATTAGGCAACCCATCAGGCCATCTTGCGGAGGCAGCCAATCACAGTGGAGACACGGGAACGTGCCCAAGCCAATCCCCGGATTTCTTGGTACGCTATGACTAGTGGCATATCAATTGGCCAACCAGGCGTTCTTTTACTGCGGAAATACTCATAGTACACTCAATATTGGGGCCTCTCAATGGTCAAATACATGTGAACTAGGGAGGAGGGGTAATATGGTGGGGTAGTTATAAATGACGTCATACATCATGCTGCCATCATCCACAGCACAATGTCATTCACTTTGATGAGAGCATTCTATATAAGTATATAACACTTTAAGCAGTCACATTTTAATGTTACGTACCAGGACACACAGATACAAATCAGATAGCAGTAGGGGTTTGGGGGTATAAATCATGAGGTAGCAATACAAATATATATATTGCTATGCGCTTAATATAAAATAACTCCACATGAGCACATGATATTAGTGAATGATGAATCTATCTTGAAATTACCCCCTTATTACTCCTGCAGATAAGCCCATAAATCCTCACAAGCATCCCTCAACGACTTCTCCGTCGTCCATCCCAGCTCAACCGCTGCCCGCTCCGCACTGGCAACACACGACCCAACATCCCCCGCTCTCCTGCCCACCACCTGTCTCGCAATCGCCCGCCCGGACACATCTTCCAGGGTCTGTACCAGCTCCAACACCGAATGACCACACCCCGTCCCGAGGTTAAATGTGCGAAACCCGTCCCGCACGCGGCCCTCCCGCGCCGCAGCCAACGCAGCCGTGTGGCCCCGCGCCACGTCCGTGACGTGGATGAAATCCCGGATCGGGGTGCCGTCAGGCGTGTCCCAGTCACTTCCGTAGATGAGGAGCTCATCTCGCTTCCCGGCGAGGATGTCCACGAGGGCAGGGACGAGGTTTGACGGATTGATTTTTGGGTCTTCGCCTAGGAGGCCTGACGCATCGCAGCCGATTGGGTTGAAGTACCGCAGGGCGACGGTGGTCCAGGCGGGGTTTGCGCGGGCCAGGTCGGCGAGGACGGCTTCGCCGAAGAGCTTGGTGCGGCCGTAGGGGTTTGTGATTTGGGAGATGTTGCTTTCGGACGGGTGAGACGCAGCGAACTGGTCGAGTTCCGGTTGATGCGTGCACTCCTCTTCGCGGAGGATGGGGCGGTTCTCGGCTAGTTTGCCGTAGACGTTTGCCGACGAGGAAAAGATGAAGGTGGTAATGCGATACTGATCCAGCAGGACGAGGAGGTCCACGAGCCCGTTGATGTTGTTGCGATAGTACTTGAGCGGGGTGCGGATGCTCTCTTCGACCTGTTTGAAGGCGGCAAAGTGGATGACTCCGATGATGCTCGACTGCCGTGTGGACAGGTCAAGCTGGTACGCATGGAGGAGATTCCTCATGGCGGACGTGTCGCGGTAGTCGACATCGTACAGCGTCGCCTTCGGACAGCGGCCATCCGTCCCGTCAAAGTGCAGTTTCGCGGCCAGCAGGATCCGGGAAAAGACATGCCGGTAGCTGTTACTCAGGTCATCGACGATGAGGACATTGTATCCCGCTTTCATCAGCTCCAGACAGGTATGGCTGCCGATGAATCCGAGGCCTCCAGTGACAAGGACATACTCATCGCCATCGCTGACCGGTGTCAATGATTCAAAGAGCCCGTCCGTCTCGCTGTCTGGCGTGGGAACTTCAGAAAAGAGCCGGGGAGAAGCAGATGGGCTTCTTTCAGAATGCGAACTTGAAGCCATACTGCAGGGGCAGGTATACTGTATCACGGCCAAAGCAAACGAGCGACTTACTACAGCTTAGACGCTCATCGCAGGAGGCCCATCCCGGACAATAAGTTCACTAGATGGCAAGTCATCCTCGTCATGATCGTGGCATCCAACGCTTCCATGACTTCACGTCGATGATACTATTTTCATCCAAGCTGGACTTCTGGACATCCTAGCCGAGACATGGCTGGTATTGGGTATGTCTGGCTTTGACTCTAAGTCATACGATACATACCGTACATACTCCGTACATTACATGCTGAGGGTTTCATACGAGGAATACACTTTGTCTTATCGCGTCGTCATTATTTGCTACTAATGCCACCGTCATGGTCTGTGCAGCCAGCAGTCAGCATATGCGCTGGCGGTGCCAAGTAGGCAACTACGGAAAGCCCACGCCATATCAATGAGGCGTTTTGTGGATGTCTCACCGTTATCGACCAATTATCACACCGCAAGAAAAAGATAGAGCCCAAAAGTGAGACCCAGCGATTCACTGTGGCGCTCAGCCCATTGTGGCTTCTCATTAGTGCGGTGCTAAGTTTGGCACCAGTGACAGCTAAACTGCGCAAGAATGACAGGTCGATTTCGATCCCTGCCCAGCCTCGACCCAGGCCTAGACCACTACACCCTAGATACACCGATGCGACTTATTCCATCAGCGCGTGCATCAATCCCTCCCAACTGGTTGGTCCAAATCGCTCATAGAAATCGCCCTCCACCTCCGTGACAAACAGATAAGCCGCGCGATCGCGCAATTCGCGCACCAAGCCCGCCAGCCCGCCCACTGGCACCGCATTGATCATGTACCCGCATCGGCTCCGATCATAAGGCAATTCGGCGAGTCGATGCTGCACCTCGTCCGAACTGTATCTCTCATACGGCTCTTCACAGGTCAGAATCAGATCCGGACAGGTGTCGGCCAACCCGGCATCGGGCGGTGTGCCAGGATTATGGACGACCTGCATCAGTCAGCCAGGCAACTCAACTCAATTCAACCCAGTCCCACGGAAAGTGAAAAGCAAAAACACAAAAACTAAAAAAAGAAAAAAACACAAAAAAAAAAAAAAACTTACCATCCGGTCGCGCAGAATCCCATCATGACTCTTGATATACTTTGTACAAGCGAGCAGGTACGCCTCTCTCTCCTCAGAATAATGGTTGGGTGTTTCGTCGAGTAGAATCCCACCCAGTCCTAGACCCTCAGAGGCTGACCAGCTAGCGTACCGATCGATCTCCTCGTAGACATCTTCCAGAGGCTTATCGCAGTAGTGGATACGAATGTAGCCAACAGTGTAGACGTTGGGAAAGGCGTTCAGCTTGGGGACCTCGCGGGCGTAATCTTTGTTCGGCGAGGGGAGGTCGCCTGGTCCGCTGTTGGGGTTGACGACCACCAGAAAGTCTAGATCGGGGTGGGCGGCGATACTGAGGAAGTCAATAAACAGTTCCGTATTGTACCTCGTATGATACCTGTCCAGATTGACTCTACAAATTAGAGGATTGGTGCAACTCACGCGTCGTATAGTGGGGCCCATGTCGTGGTTGACACCGGATAAATGTACAACGGGACGAGAACTCCTGATTTTGGGGGCATTGTGCCGATGGGATAAGATTGGGTAAGATGGCGAAATGATGGCGATTATTCGATCAGATCGGGTCAAATGTTTAGTGCAAAACGATAGAACGATGAATGCTGAATAGGTGCTTTGATTGACAGGGGCGAGGAAGCAGGAACCACCCACTGCGACCGCACATGGTCTATCTATCTATCTATCTATCTACTCAACTAGTCTACAAGGCTACGACTAGGAGATAGCCTAGCGCTGACGAGATGCAGAGATGTAGCCATGTGGCGCCGTTGATAGCCAGTCGTAATATCACATTTTCCAGCGTCTGGCTTTCTGTCTATGCCCAAACACTGCCTATCAAAGCTTGGCGAATACGAAGTTTCAGCCTGCCACCCACTTATCAAGTATTTCCGGAATCCTGACAAAGCTAATTAAATACCTGTGATTACCTGAGATGTGATATGAAAAGTTCCAAGTCAACACATGCCTCCCCACAACCAATAACCATGGTTTCATCCACGTCAACTGGGCATGACAGCACACAAAGTGGGTAGCTGTGGGTCAAAACTCTCGTAGAAATTCTGGCTCAGTGTGGTAAGAAACAGATATTCCGCGCGCTGGCTCAGATCCTGGAGCAAGCCGCGGAGCGTTCCATTATTCATCGAAGGCGCCGAGTGGATCATGTAGCTGTAAG